GATATCATTAGCTATTCAACATTTTGTTTTAAGTAGATAATTTATTCTGAAAAGCTGTTTTGACAGTTGGAACATTAATGTTTTCTAACATTTAAAAATAGAAGTTTGTATAACAGAATGTCTTCCAGCCTTGTGGCAGATTTTCTGGAGAATGAAGAATTTTATGTCCTTTTAAAGTTTGCCGCAAGCCTGAAAGACCTGAGCCTGTTTTGCGAAACCAAAACCAAGAAACAACGCATTCATATGTGTAGAAATCAATGTGGTAAACTGCTTTCTTAAGAAAGAAACAGTGTTATGACAGTATTTAGTTTAAATAAATGTAGTTCATTATGAAAACAAGCAACCATTAGTGTTTTGCACATAGACAGGATTATCTCCATGTAGGTATCAGTGCATGCTATAAATGACTTCTTTCTGTTTTTCTTGTATTACAGGAGAAAAAAACTGAGATGATGTTGGTTTTAAGAGGAATGCACAGAGTTGATGTTAGAGTCAAGGACGAAAGGCAGATCTGAATCTTCACCTAGTCTCTAGCTGACAAATGTGCTCTGATGAGGTGAGAGAAAAGAAAGCGGCATATTATGTTCAAACTAATTCTGAACTTAGGTACAAATTGAACAGAAGGACTTGTATGTTTCTGTATTTCTGCATTTGCAGGGAAAGAAAACCAACAACGCTCCACTTTTTAAATACAGCTGGGTTCTTTTCTGCCTAGCTTGGGTAAATCAAACTCTCATTTGTAGATCTCTTCATTGGCCAGTGCAGTGAGATCCTTTGGCTCCCCACAGTATACCTCGGTCTAGTATAACCACTACTAGAATAAATACATTGTTGATTAAAGAATGCAGTGTTAAATTATTATATCTTTCTTTATTTTTTGCATTCTTCATCTCTATCTTCTGAGGAAGTAGGTTTCCAAAATACTGGGAGAAGGTCCATTTGGTCTGAGCAGATGTTGTGACCCATTTGAGCAGCTGAAAGCAAAAACAACATTTTGAGGTTTTCAGATTCAGTTTGGCTGTTCTGTTCAAAAGTTTAATTTTGCAATGAAGCTTTTGGTGTGTGCACCAAGACCAGAGGACAACAAAGAAAATCCCACGTTGTCCCTGTTAGAAGTTGTCTCTGTTAGCCTCCATCTGACTGAAAATGGCTGTGCAACTAGAACAGTGCTAGGTGGCCAGTGTCCCAGTCAGTACAAGTGAGGACTAACATTTTAAGCTCTACTGTGTCCCCTGATAAGCCTGCAATAGGGAAGAAGATCTCAGGAGACACAACTGAGAAAGGCATAGTTTGGATTTAGTCCAGCTCAGATCTGGTGGGGGAGATGACCGGGAAAATAATCTGTGTCACAACATCGTTACCCGGCTTGTTATACTATGTCCTGTAGGATGTGAAACCCACGATTGCCGTAGTGTTTAGTTCTGTGGAGACATAGCTCATATGTCTAGTTTTTCCCAAATAAGATTCAACTGTGGCTGGATGCTACCACACTGCTAGAAAAGAGCGGTTTAGTCCTCAGTGTTTCCAAAATGATGTGTCATATTTAGACTGAGGCCAAAAGTCACCTGTGTATCTTGAATAGATAAATAATCATTATTTATAACATTTGTTTAAGACCAATAGTTGTTCTTGCTTTTTAATTGAAAATTTAGAGCAAATCTGCATTTTCAATTGAGCTCCACAAGCAATTATAAAGAGGTTCTGATCTTAGGGAGTTACTTGCTGGCAGCCTTTTTTGTTCTCGGCCAAGACAAGTAGGTCTAGAATGACATAAGGAGCAGAGAGATCAAGGATAGGTGTCATTTGACCTATTTTTACTTGTCTAAAACTTAGTTACCTAAGCTAAGCTAGTTCTTCAGGCTTTCAAATTGAAAGGAAGCACCTCCAGAGACCATTTTGTCCCACTCATTTTAGACAGCTGTCTCAAGATAAGATAAATTGCTCTCTGGAAATATCTGTCTTTAGTACTTATTGAGAGAGTCTATATGAGGATCTTCAATGAAACTACTTGCTAAGAATAGAGTATACCTGATTCTACACAAATATTTTACTCTTTCAAGGTATTTTCCTTTTATTGGAGGACTGGAATGACGAGTGTCCCTCAAAATCTGTCCACAGATACAAGAAAATATGTATCTCAATTTCTCAAGTGGTAGACTAATAATGCAGGAAGGAGTGAACTCGGTGCAAATGAGATAGGGATAGATGAAAATTCATTACTCCAGGACATCAGAGATGATCTGTAATACTGCATTATCTGAAAATTAGTCACAGTAGAGAAAAATACTTAATTCCATGCTTACTGAATTTTACATGAACTCAGTGAATATTAAACAGTGTACATTTATGAACTCATGTGAATTTCAAATCTCTGCTCTGATCTTTTTTGGAGTGGAATTTTATATGTGCATGTTGCTGACACCTGGGAAAGAACTGGGAGTGACTTCTCACCTTCAGACAATGTCTCAGTCCCCCTGCTGAATCCTCTGAGGTGAAATAAAAGCAAGTTATAAAGGTCAAGATATGCACAGTGAGTGCCTCTCAGTGGCACCTAAGCACATCCAACCACTGAAAACGTTCAGAAACTGAAGGAGTCCATCCACCAAAGTGCTCAAGTATGGTCCCTAGAGATTTGTTACTTCAGGCTCGTTTTTATACACACGGACCATATAAAGTAGGCTACAATTATCTACTTTAAAACTGAGAACGTGCACTTACCATAAAAATGTTCCCTTGATATCCTTCAGCTTTCAAAATGCTTGAGAAAATGCAAAAGCTCTGTAGCACTCACAGGTAGCTAAAAAATCAAATAAATAAATATATTTTTAGTCTATTTTTCTTTTCTGGGAAAACACTATTTTCAGTGGAATAATCTATGTGGTTTTCTGAGTAAAAGGCACTTGCCTTCCTCTAGGGTTGTAGAGCTAATAATATGGATATATAGCATTTGTTGATTTGTAAGCAGCAGTCTCTAAGATCCTTGGTCTATGAAGCCAGGATTCATATAATTCAGTACTTCCCTTCTCATGGTGCCACAGAAAAACAGAACACTACCGAAGAGAAAGTCTTTCATGAATGCAAACTGTTTTTGTTAAGATTCATTAGTGTATGTGCTTATGTGCTCATGTACATATCCAGAGGATTATGCCCTTGAAACATCTCTCTCTTAATTTTTCATATAAATATAAACTCAATTCATACCCAATCCCATCAGTAAGTTAAATTTCTTTGACTTTTTAGATGGTTCAGCACATAGGTCCTTAAGCTCTTTGCAGGTATGGTCATTTGAACTGATCAAATTGGGTAGTACATACAAAAAGAAATCTTCTGGAATGGGCAATATGAATATTTGAAAATGTGAATCGTTAAACTACAAAAGTCAATTGAGATAAAGTATGCAATAATTAAAGCTACCATCATGAGGAGTACTTCAGCTTTTGACAAGATAGTATTTTCTTCTTCTTCTGCTTTATCTTTTTTTATTATTATTATTTCTAAAGGAAAGAGAGCACTTGTCACCTAGATACTTTTAAATAGGTATGACGGATAACATTATTTGAAAATAGGGATCTCTATAGTCAAAATCATGGCCACTTTACTCTCTGCAAACAATGTTGCTTAAAATATAAAACTTATGTAGAATATATCCTACCAATATATGTGAGATGAAATATTTAAAAATGGATGGAATCAGAGATGGAAGAAAGAAATACTAACCTTTGTAAGCATGGGGAAAAGATCAGCTAAACTGGGATCTAATGTTCTGCTTTCTGATCGGTTACAATAAATAGGTATCAAGTTCTAAGTGCACTTTCCTAACCAATTCTCTTGATTACTTGCAGTCAGATTTTCATAGCTAATTATTCCAATTAGACTACTGAGGTTTTGGTATTTTTAATGTAAAAGCAGGAGTAATGCTTTAATGATGCTAGGACTTCTGTTTTACATAAAACAAGGCATAGTAATGAGCAGAGGGCTTCTGCACCCAGTGATGATACAAGAGAGAACTCACTTTGCAGCTGAATGAATACTACAAAGCCACCGACTTACTCTGTTGAAGAACTTTTCTTTGGATGGGCAGTGTCCTCATCCTTCATCATCTTTAGATGCTGTATTAGGGAAGCAAGGATGATCATGCTGAGTTAAGGCAGATTTATACTATGCCATTTTCTATCTCTGTTCAGTCTTGCTTTTTCATTGTACTTTGTTCTGCAAACAAAAAGCAGTATTTTCCATTGGAAACAATAGGTATGTGAGAAAACATAAAATGCAAGAAAACCTTCAAATTAATGGGAAATGGGAAATAATATTTTACCTCAGATTTTGTTTTAAGGAAATGAATGATAGAAACAGAATTTTGAATTTTAGTTGTACTATATAAGCAAAATTTCAGTACAGGTAGTCATCAGGTATAATTTGGAGGCCATCATGAAGAAAGAACAGAAAGCAGGGCTGTAACTCTTGTGAAATGTATGTCTTCTGAGGAAGAATGAAGATTTTCTCACACTGGAGGAATGTTAAAAGATTTTTTCTTGAGATATTTTGTATTGTGTGACAACTGAGAAGGTATGCCCTCAGTCATTTACCTTTGTCAGTTTTTATTCTAAGAAACAATGGAAACACTGCCTCACCTCTTGCTGTGGTGCAGCACTGAGCAGACTGGGGTTCTCAGTCACTGGTGGTCATCAGCAAAACTTCCAAAAAATGGCTGTATGGTGCCTAAGGCCTAGATGGCCTAAAGGCAGAGACTGTTATTAGTAACTTGAATTAAAATGTTTTACAGTACAGCAGTATACTTCTAAGTACATGAGACTTTGCTGGTCTGCTGTTTCCCCATGTCAAGCTGACAAACCTTAAGGGGCATACTGTAGTCCAGGGTGCAAAGCTGGGTGCTCCTTCAGCTAGAATAAATCTGAGAAGCCTTGTCCAAGGATGTTGTGCTCAGAGCCAGGTGCTCATTCATCCCAGTCCCGCCCTCACCAAACTTTGTAGACCTTGCATTTAGGCTTTTTCATGTGCATTCCTGTGTGAGAAACATACGTGAATGTGTGCCATCAAGATACTCAGGGTCACAGGTGAAGCATGCTTCAGCACCAGTAGTTGAGTCTCTCTCCTGAGTCCCATGTCTGATGTCTGCCTGCTTTGATCACAGTCACAATGACTTTCCACTCTTTGGTTTTGTAACATCTGCTAATCAATAACTAGCAGCACCCAGTGTGCAGCACTGCCCCAGCGGTGTGTGACCATGGGCAGCTTTTGTACCTCTCTTCTGCACAGTGCACTGGCATCACCCAACTGCTGTCCTAAAAGTGACCCTAGTGAATATTGCAGTGCCTAGTTATTAGGATCTTTGCCCCTTTTTAGAACTGACAATGCCTACGTTATTCAGTACGTAGTTAAAATTAAATGCATCAAAAATTGATCCAGGAAGATGTTATACTAAGAAGAAACACAAAACACTTGCAGCTGGAGATGTTAGGGAGAGTAGTATTATGCCACTGTGCTTCAGAGGCAAGTGCTTAATGTCACCTGGAAAGAGCTACACTCTCTTCCAAATAATT